TATATATATATATATATATATATATATATATATATATATATATATATATATATATATATATATATATATATATATATATATATATATATATATATATATATATACATACATATAGTTGAAGTCAGAGTTATAAAATATTTCCCAAATGATGTTTAACAGAGCAAGGAAATTTTCAAAGTATTTCTGATAATATTTTTTCTTCTGGAGAAAGTCTTATGTGTTTTATTTCAGCTAGAATAAAAACAGTTTTTTCATTTTTAAACTTCATTTTAAGGACAAAATTATTAGCCCCTTTAAGCTAATTTTCTTTCCAACTGTCTTCAGAACAAACCATCGTTATACAATAACTTGCCTAATTACCCTAACCTGCCTAGTTAACCTAATTAACCTAGTTAAGCCTTTAAATGTCACTTTAAGCTGTATAGAAGTGTCTTGAAAAATATCTAGTCAAATATTATTTACTGTCATCATGGCAAAGATAAAATAAATCAGTTATTACAGATGAATTATTAAAAGTACACTGAAAAAAATATTCAGAGATGATTCCTTGGATTTACTCAATTTTTTTACATTAAGTGGCTGTAAACAATTTATTTGGGCTGAATTTAAACAAACATTTTTTATTAAATTGAAATTGTTTGTTTAAATTCAAAATAAATAAATTGTTTGCAACAGACATCATTTTTTCAGTGTATTATGATTAGAAATGTGTTGAAAAAAAAATATCTTCGCTAAACATTTGGGGGAAATTGGGGGAAAAAATAAACAGGGGGTCTAATAATTCTGATTTCAAGTGTGTGTGTGTGTGTGTGTGTGTGTGTGTGTGTGTGTGTGTGTGTGTGTGTGTGTGTGTGTGTGTGTGTGTGTGTGGGTGTATGTGGGTGTGGGTGTGGGTGTGTATGTATATATATATATATATATATATATATATATATATATATATATATATATATATATATATATATATATATACACACACACACACACCAACTTATCCAGCATATGTTTTACACAGTGGATGCCCTTCCAGCTGCAACACAGTACTGGGAAACACTCATACACTATGGCCAATTTAGTTTATCCAATTGACCTGTAGCGCATGTGTTTGGACTATGGGGGAAACTGGAGCACCTAGAGGAAACCTGCGCCAACACAGGGAGAAAATGCAAACTCCACACAGAAATGCCAACTAGCACAGCCGGGACTCAAACCAGCGACCTTGCTGTGAGGCGACAGCGCCAGCCACTGCGCCACCCTTTAATTTTATTTTGGTGTTTATTCTGGGAATGGTTTTCTCGTGTATTTATATTGTGATCTTGTGATCTTCATTCATTATTTTGTTAAATTGTTTGTCGTTTAACTTTTGTTTATTCTTTCTTTTGAGCCTTTGTTGATTTTTCTGTGTTTTCATTTAACATTTTTATTCTGCTATTTGCTATTTCATAAATTTTATTAGTCACACTTTTTATTTTTCTTCCATAATTGTGTTGTTATTTTATTATTTTTTTATTTGCTCTCTTTCCTTTTATTCTGTCCTGTGTAGTTTTGTTTCTTTATCTACCTCTAATGTGTGTGTAGGAGCGGGAGAGACGTCGTCAGCATGTGATGTTGATGAAGGCGATGGAGGCCAAGAAGAAAGCAGAGGTATGTTTGTAAATCTCCTTTCATCATTTTTTTCCTCTCTCCATCCTTTTGATGACACTTCTGAACTGTTTCTGCAGGAGAAAGAGCGACTCAAACAGGAGAAACGAAACGAGAAACGACTGAACAAAGAGCGCAAACTGGAGCTCAGACGTCTGGAGCTGGAAATGGCCAAAGAGCTCAACAAACCCAATGAAGACCTGTGTCTGGCGGACCAGAAGGTGAACCACAGACGCCTTTCATTCATTCATTCATTCATTGATTCATTCTTTCATTTAGTCAGTTAGTCAGTCAGTCAGTCATTCCTCTTTTCGTTTATTCATTCACTAATTCATTCAGTCAGTCATTCTTTTTTTCATTCAGTCAGTCATCCATTAATTTGTCAATTAGTCAGTCAGTCAGTGATTCAGTTAATTTATTCATTTAGTCAGTCAGTCTGTCAATCATTTGTTCAGTCAGTCAGTCAGTCTGTCAGTACTTGTTCATTCATTCATTCATTCATTCATTCATTCATTCATTCATTCATTCAGTCCGTCAGTCAGTCAATCAGTCAGTCAGTCTCAATCCTTTGTTCAGTCAGTCAGTCAGTACTTATTCATTCATTCATTCATTCATTCATTCATTCATTCATTCATTCATTCATTCAGTCAGTCAGTCAGTCAGTCAGTCTGTCAGTACTTGTTCGTTCATTCATTCATTCATTAATTCAGTCAGTCGGTCAGTCAGTCAATCTGTCAGTTAGTCAGTCAGTCTCAATCCTTTGTTCAGTCAGTCAGTACTTGTTCATTCATTCATTCATTCATTCATTCATTCAGTCAGTCAGTCAGTCAATTCTTTGTTTATTTATTCAGTCATTCATCCAGTCAATCATTCATTCCCTCAATTAATCAATCATTCAGTTAGTCATTCATTCAATCAATCAGTCAGTAATTTATTAATTCAGTCAGTGATTCAATAATTCAATCAGTCAGTTATTCATTTATTTATTTATTAATTCCATCAGTCAGTCATTCTTTTGTTCATTTATTCATTCAGTCAATCGTTCATTTGTTCAACCACTCATTCAGTCAGTCATGCATTAATTTGTTTCAGTCAGTAATTCATTTGTTCATTCATTCAGTCAGTCAATCCTTTGTTCATTCATTCAGTCAGTTAGTCAGTCAGTCCTTCATTCAATCATTCATTCATCCATTTACTCAGTCAGTCAGTAATTCATTTGTTCATTCAGGCAGTCTGTCAATCCTTTGTTCATTCATTCAGTCAGTCAGGTCAAAAATTCAGTCAGTAATTAATTAATTAATTCGTTCATTCATTCATTCATTCATTCATTCAAGCAGTCGATCATTTATTCTCTCAATCAATCAATCAATCAATCATTCAGTTAGTCGTCCATTCATTCATTTAAATAATCAGTCAGTCAGTAATTCATTCATTCATTTAATCAGTCAGTCAGTCAGTAATTTATTTGTTAATTCAGTCAGTCTGTCAATCCTTTGTTCATTCATTCATTCAGTCAGTCGATCAGTCCTTCTTTCGTTCATTCATTCATTCATTCATTCATTCATTCATTCATTCAGTCACTCAGTCAGTCAGTATTTCATTCATTCATTCAAGCAGTCAATCATGTTTTCTCTCAATCAATCAATCACTCAGTTAGTCGTCTATTCATTAATTCAAATAATCAGTCAGTCAGTAATTCATTCATTCATTCATTTATTCTTTTATTCATTCATTCATTCATTCATTCATTCATTCATTCAGTGAATCATTGATTCAGTCAATCAATCAGTCAGTCAATTGTTCTTTCGTTCAATTATTCATTCAGTCATCCTATAATTAATTAAATAAATCAGTCAATAATTAATTCATTCATTCATTCATTCATTCATTTATTCAATTGTTCATTAATTAATTAATAAAATTGCTAAATAATGAATGAATGAATTCATTCATTTGTTCATTCAGTCATTTGATCTTTTTTTTTTTATTTGTTCATACAATATCTAACTCTATATTGTTTTACACATTGTTTGTGTCTAATATATGTGTTTTGTGCCAAGTTGCTGTGTTAATAAGCAGGAAAAAAGATATGCAAAGTACCTCCATCCATTCAGTGTTATACAATAGTGCTCTGCTTTGCGTTGGGCTGCGATTAACGTTTTGGACTTTATTCTGTGATAATCTCCTGTATCTACTTTACCCCTAGCATATTACCCTGCTCTTCTTGAGTGTATAAGTCTGTCTCTGTGTGTGTGTGTTTGTGTGTGTGTTTTCAGCCTCTGCCGGCTCTGTCCCGCATCCCTGGTCTGCTGCTGCCGGGTGGATGTTTCTCAGACTGTCTGATGGTTCTGCAGTTCCTGCGGTGTTTTGGGAAGGTCCTGGGGTTTGACCAGAGCGCTGACGTGCCATCGCTCGCTGTGCTTCAGTCTGGCCTGCTGAATGTGGGCGACAGCACGGGCTTCATCCAGGACCTGCTGGTGCGTTTGCTGTCTGCTGCTGTCTGTGACCCAGGACTGCCTGCAGGACACAGGGTGAGAGAAGAGTTTGTGAGGGTGCTGTTTCATTAGCTATGTTTCTATCCAAAGATGGCGATTAGATTAATGTGCAACTGGAATAATGCATTAAACATTTGGGAGTGAAGCACTGTTTCCATTCATTAAGGCAAAGAAATCCAAATCATCACTTTCAATATATATTTACAGTTGAAGTAAGAATTATTAGCCCCCCTGAATTATTTTTTCTTCAATTTCTGTTTAACGGAGAGAAGATTTTTTTTCAACACATTTCTAATCATAATAGTTTTAATACCTCATTTCTAATAACTGATTTATTTTATCTTTTCCATGATGACAGTAAATAACATTAGACTAGATATTTTTCAAGACACTTCTATACAGCTTAAAGTGACATTTAAAGGTTTAACTAGATTAATTAAGTTAACTAGGCAGGTTAGGGTAATTAGGCAAGTTATTATATAATGATGGTTTGTTCTGAAGACAGCCGGAAAGAAAATTTGTTTAAATGGGCTAATAATTTTGTCCTTAAAATGATGTTTAAAAAATTAAGAACAGCTTTTATTCTAGCCGAAATTAAACAAATAAGACTTTCTCCAGAAGAAAAAATATGATCAGACATACTGTGAAAATTTCCTGAATCTGTTAAACATTAATTGGGAAATATATAAAAAGAACATAAAAATTCCAAGGGGGGCTAATAATTCTGACTTAACTGTATATGGAGTATATCTCACCTATTTGCCTAGATTTCTTTTTAATTGTAACATTCAAATGTAATATAATGTGTTTAAATATGTATCTTTTAAATGATTTGTAGCTCCCCATGTTTTACTGTTTATAGTTGTTGTTAGTAAAAAGAAGAAAATCAAATCAAAGCATATGCAAGATCTATAAGTCTCTTTCTGAATGAGAGATTATGTAAGTTAGATATGTATTTTCTTTTGAAAACTCAAAATAAAAATAAATGAAAATAATATGAGTAATTACATAGTTGAAAGCAGAATTATTAGCCCTCTTCGAATTTTTTTCTTCTTTTTTAAATATTTTCCAAATTATGTTGAACAAAGACATTTTGACAGCATGTCTGATAATATTTTTTCTTCTAGAGAAAGTCTTTTCTAAAAATTTTGTTTTATTTCGGCTAGAATGAAAGCAGTTTTTAATTTTTTTAAAACACCAAAAATTATCAAAATTATTAGCCCCTTTAAGCTATATTTTTTCTAGATAGTTTACAGAACAAACCATCATGATACAACAACTTGCCTAATTACCCTAACCTGCCTAGTTCACCTTATTAATTAACCTAGTTAAGCCTTTAAATGTCACTTTAAGCTGTATAGAAGTGTCTTGAAGAATATCTAGTCAAATATTATTTACTGTCAGCATGGCAAAGATAAAATAAATCAGTTGTTAGAGATGAGTTATTAAAACTATTATGTTTAGAAATGTGTTGCAAAAATCTTCTCAGTTAAACAGAAATTGGGGAAAAAATAATCAGGCTAATAATTCAGGAGGGCTAATAATTCTGACTTCAACTGTATATGTAATACCATTGTCTAAATTGACCGTTAAATTTCTTAGACCTAAATTAAAGAAGGAAAATAAAGAGAAAAAAGGTATATATCTGAATAAAAATAAAATAAGTAAAGGTGTAAAAAAAAAATGTTTTAATACATGTAAAAAATTAATTAAAAATACCCCATGCACCAATGTAAAGCTTAATTTAAACTCTGCATGAATCAGAAGCTGCAACAGTTCTTTTTGGCTTTTTTCTCCATATTGTGAAACAGTTCCTAGACAAGGGAGGGCAAGTTTATTTATATAGCACATTTCATACACTGTGGCAATTTAAAGTGCTTTACATAAACAAGAATAAAAAAAGACAAGTATAAGAAAAATAAAAACAAACAAACAAAATGATTAAAAACAGATAAAAACAGATAAAAATGTTAAAACTGGTTATAAAAAAAAAGAAAAAAAAGACAATAGTTCAATCTGTCAGACGCAGCACAGTGCCCATTTAGTAAAGGCACAGCTAAGCAGATGTGTTTTCAGTCTTGATTTGAATGAGCCTAATGTTGGAGCACATCTGATCATTTCTGGAAGCTGATTCCAGCAGTGAGCGGCGCTGTTAGTAGCTGAAAGCCGATTCACCCAGCTTTGACTAAACTCTTGGAATTTCTAGTTTATT